CATTCACTGTATTTTGACAAAGAGGTTTCCCAAATTACCTTTTCAAACTCCCGGGTTCTCTTCTGAAGAGTAGCATCTTTCCTGCAAGGCTTCTCTTCTACTAGAGCAGTGCAGAGTTTGGTTCACTTTCACACATTTTTCACTTTCATTGTCATGGCAACCTTGTGCAGCAACCTTGCCAATCTGCTCTCAACCATACAGTCACCAGCTACAAATTTATTTTCTGAATTGACTGCATGTCTGGTATATGTGGCCAATTGGGAAGGACTTGTATTTTTTGTCAGGCATCCTCTCCCAAAGCCCCGCTTCTCAATTAAAAACAACACCACCCGTACACCCAAACTACCTGGAACCCAGAACAGCAGCTGACACTGGAGTTCAGCTGAAAACACAACTTTTTCATATGCTTTTGTTCCGTTTTATTTACTGTCATTGAAGTTTTCAGTTTGTCACTTTAATGTCAATTTTCTTTATTATTGCCCTTCTCTGTAAACTACAGCTACGTACATCTTGCACACACTAACTCCAAGCTGAGCCTAAGTATTTTTCAGCAATGGTTCTAAAAGATTATTTTAAAGCACATTTTAGCTATTTATGTTACAAAGGTGGAGATCTTAAAGACAAGGGAAAAATCAGTGACATTTGTCATTTATAATTTGTGAAATAACAAACTGCAAAATTTGAGCCCCTTACTTTTCTCTCACTGGCTACCCGCCTCGCTGCCACTGCTTTCATGTTCTTTCTTAGACTAGATTATTAAACAAGAGATATACTACTGCGATGCAAATGTTTTTCTGACCTGAGCTGTAAATAAATTAGATTGATCAGGCCTTAGTTTTTATCAGACAATAACTTTAGGCAAAGGTCTGCTGCAAAACAACTACAAAAACCAAAACAACTTTCCCAAACTTATAAACTACTTTCCCCGCTTTGTTTCAAAAACTACCGCTTTCCTTTGCTTTTCAATGGAGGTTACAAAAGATCTGCTTCATCATCATTTTGTTGGTGTATCCCATTCAAAAGGTCTCAATTACAAAATACTGAAATAAAATGCTTTAACATTCAGTTGATAGATGTATGTATGTAACTTACTATTCTGTGAAAGATTATTCATAACTTCCTGTTCCTTTATTGGGCTTCAAATGGAAATATTTGCTTCAGTCCTTTTTTTTTTTTTTATAACAAGTCATATATTGCATTGTCTATTAATCAAACAGTATTACCTGTTTCCCCCACAATGCGTGTATTATCAGTATTTTAAAGAGGGAGGAAAAACCTGAATGCAACTGCAGTTCCTTAATAACTCTGTTTTTTTTAAATACAGTCTATCAAAAGGATTTTCTAGAAAAAAAGAATGAAAGGAAATAAATGCAGAAGAAATGCAGCTCAGATTATCAGATTTTAAATCCAAAAAGAACTAATACCATCACACAGCAAGGGACAAGAGTTTCTCTTAAACTGCATTTGTGAAGCAAAATCACTTTAATAATCCCCAGCATGAAAATTTACTGCATCTATTATTAGCAATGGAAGTAACCTCAGAGTTTAACACCTGTCCCATACTGGGTTGGGCAAAATTCAGAATGCCACAAATCCACCATAGTCCCATTCCAACAGGGAAGTTCAAGTGCTACTGTTCAGCCTGCAAAATATAATCGCAATTTAGTAGTGGAACAGTGATTCTTAGAGTCACTAATGACTCTATTAATCTATTCCTTAAAAAAGACACAAAAGAAGTGCTATTATAAAAAATATTTTCGCTCACTTTTAAAAACCTTTAGAAAATATAAAATTTCTTTTAGGTCAGAAAGAAAATTGAAAAGAGATTTGAAGAAAAAAAAAAAAAGGAGCTTATAACCTATTTTTCAAAGAATGCAGAAAGTTTTGATCATGCAACTTGAAATTTTCATGTTCTATTGTGCAAATACATTCTCCATCCACTTCCCATTTTCTTTAAAAAGCATCTAACATGGTCCCTGAATTGTGAATGAGAGTGATGCTAAATGGCGAAATTGGAAATACAGTGAGACACCAGCCATTTCCTAAGCATTGTATAACAGATGAAAAGCTGTAAAAATTTATCTCCACGCAGCCAACCATAGAATTAATAACTGTTCAGTTTTTAAGGATCAAAAAAAATAGATCTACACCATCCAGAATAAAAAAAAAAAAATTATGGGCAGAAGAGAGATTACAATAGCCCATATTATTTAAGTCACTCTGTCAATGGTGAACCATAACTAATTGCATCTCATTTCAGGCTTTAAATGTGAAGATAAAAACCTTTTAAGTGTCCATTTCTGTTTGATGTTCAAGAGAGGTTAAACTAAAGAAAATCTACAGTGAATACGACAAGAAAAAGATCCAAGGGAAAGGTCTGACCTCTCTTCATTCTGATTTAAGTTTGATGATGCACTATACATGATAAGGGTACCACTATCTCACAACCCATCAGCAGGTAATTCATAAGGAGGTCAAAGAAAGGAAAAGGCCGTAGGATCATGCATAATTTAGCAATTTCATCAATAAACAATTCTTCAGATAATAAAAAAGAGCACTGAAAGAGGCATGTGGAGAGAAGAATGGGAACAAAAATACCACCAACACCGTCTTGCAAGCAAACTTTGACTTTGTGTGTATACAGGAAACTAGGTAAATAATTCCGCAATTTGCATCAACAACCATGATAATGATGCAAGGAAATAAGAGACACACGTATATTTATACTTTGTACATTACACTTGATCCACTTGGGTTGGTGATGACACCGCAAAAATAACTATAGTAAATAAATAAGAAAAAAGAATGAGGGAAAAAGCAGTAAATAATTATTCAGTCACCTTGGACTTCACAAACTTAGCTTTACTAACGCAACAGTCAATATTAAAGGCACAAAAGCAAAACCTCTGAAAACTCTTTACAGCCACAATGGTCTAATCAGACCTGACATAATTATTCTGATTCTTGAATTCTGTAACAGTCACAAAGAATTTCTCCCTATTTTGTGTTGCACTCTACTTGATTTTTATTTATTGTAGTGTGGTAAAATTCATACTTCTAAAAGTTACTGCTAGCAATTCATATTTCAAATTACTGGCAAACAGAAAAGCACAAATAGTTTTTTGATCATCCCATGGTCACATATTTTAATTTAATTTTAAGAAAAACTGTCAAACAGATTTCTACTAAGTAACCCTCCAATTTATAATACTAGAAAGAAATATTAATATGCAACATCCTATAACATATAGAAATATTTTAATGTATTGTTTATAAACATTCATTTTTAAACAGAGACACTAATAATGAATAAACAAAAATTAAATACAGAATTTTTTTAACTTGTTTTAACTTTTATACACGTTAACTATAATGCATCTATTCCAGTCAGCCTTATCACCACAGATCTTATAAGTGCAAAGTCCCATCCTGCTAGATATTAAACAAGATAAGGGAATAGTCAGGGAGAGTAGGGATGGAGTCAAACGCTTTACTGAGTTAACTGCTCTTAGCTGTGATACTCTGAATTTCCTTTCCACGGTACTTCTTTTTTCAACCCAAATATCATAAGGTGACAAGCATAGGAATTTTTACAATGGAAGGTGATATTAAAAATGCAAAAATTTAAGATAGCAGAACAAAGCTAAAATTCTAGTCACTGTCTATCACATCGGCTAAACATACACTGCGTAGGTATGCAAGAATAGATACAGAAGTAGTGTACAGCAATGTGTTAAGTCCTCAGAGAAAATAAAAAGCAATTCTTTGAGACAAAGCAATGACATTTTTTACTTTCATCTCAATAGCACGTAAACAAAAAAAATCACTAACTCTAGGAGTTACAAAAAAGGTCAGTTATAAAGTTAAATGGAACAATGTAACTCTCTAATGCTAATTTTATATAAATTAGATTATTTAGTTTTGATTTTATTCTGGATTATCCTCTACTATCCAGGGATTATTTCACATACAGAACATTAGGTAATTACAGGCGCCTATCAGCCCGTATTAGGTCTATTGTTTTGTGAAAATCCCTCTCGTCTTTTCCTTTTGCCCTTTTTCAAGAGGAAAAGTGATAGCATTTTACATCCAGGCCTAAATTGAAATTGCACATGCAATTCCTATACCGCTGAGATTACGCAATGAAGACATCTGCTTTGCTTTATCCTTTCACTATCTTCACCATACTATGCCAAACTTGCAGGTTTAATTTAGTACATGGGTAGGGCCTGACAACTTTTAAATTTTGGTCACATGCATTCACATTTCAATCTCCATGTTTAGGTGAGAGCCCATTCTTACAGCCTAGAACAGAAAAATGGGATCAATTATTTATGGATTTTTACCTGTCTCTTCAAGCTGGCACAGTGTAATATATTTAAGTAGAAGCAAGTAACCTCAACTTTTTAATCACAGACCGAATCACATCCTCCTCAAATTTCAGTTCTTGGCGTAGTTCTCACACACTGCAACAGATGGACCTTGCACAATGGGTTTCCCCTAACATGTGAGTGAGAGGGAATAGGAAATCTTATGAAGACATATAGAAGGAAGATCAGGAGGAAAATCAGACCTAGTCAACAGTCACAAATATTTGGTAGCCCTCTTAGAATTATTATTTCCCAGATGGTCCAGGTGACATATAATTAGCACCACTGTAAGGATTTATATTTGGGGGAGAAGGGGAAGCATAATGTAACCCATGTGCTTGAGGTCTTCTGCCTACAAATTCTTCTCCTCTGTCCTTCATTTTTCACACAACACAATCAACTACATATTGACACTAACAAATAAAGAACAGTCTATAACTCATAAAAATTAAATGCGGCACTCTATTCTTAAATAACTTTGGCTAATTTTGCACAATCAAGGTAATTATATTATTTAGGAGAATACAATGTGTGTAGAATATATAAAAATGAAAAATTACAAATTTTTCTTTTAATTAGAGGTCAGAAATCAGTAAATAGAACCCAAGTGGTATGAGAACCAGTATCTTTTCACATGAAATCAATCTGTTCTTGAATACTGATTGCTTGCTTGTAGTCTTCTACAGCCTCTTTATTGAAACCCAATTTACCACGAATATCAGCTCTAAATTTATACATCAAGGCATCATTAGGCTGAATTGACAATGCTGTAAAAACAAGAAATAGAATGTTAGGCACCTTTTTTTTTTTTTTTAATATTATCACATAATTATAAAGAAAAGCATCATCCAAAAACTTGTCAGTGCTCAGATTCTTCTCCAGACATGCTTTCCCAAAGAAAACATACTACATACATTAACTTTACATGAAAAGGTAGGCAACTTTGTTATGTTATTTTCACTTCAGATTTTTTTTTCTCTTTTTGATGACATTTATGAATCTCACTTTAATTTTCCCCTGACAGCAGAAACTATGCTTTCCTCTGAAACACAAGCAAAATCCCAGAGGAGAAAACTACCACCATCCAACTTCTGGAACATGGCAATGAACCCAATATCTTATTCTGTTTCTTCATTGTATAAAGAATTTAGGTGCTTGAAAAGCTTAATCTGCTGTTTTAAAATTCTGCTTTAGAGAGAAAAATTTTTTAAAATAAATCAGCTCCCTGGTCTAGTCAGTTTTCACCACCTATCACTATGGAAACATTAGTCATGAAAGCCATGAAGTAAAAACACTATTTTGACAAACTTCACTGTAAAAGAAAACTTATTATTAAAAAAAAACCCAACCAACCAAACAAAAAAAATCTAAAGAGAGTTATCCTTCCAGGAAAGATCATTACCTGTGCAATCAATTGTTGTCAAATCAAAGTCACATTACTAAATTTTCTTTCAATAACAAATACAAACTACACATAGCTTTAGTTACTGGAAGTTTGCCTGTGTATACAGAGTTGCCGAATCTCATGTTAGTAGCAATGACAAAAGCAGCAATGGAGCAATATAGCTCAGCTGTTTTGAACCTGATCAAAAGGTTTGGTTCTTACTACGATGAAGATGAAAGTTTGATTCAGTTACTCTTCTCTATGAACCATGTCTGTTCCCAAAAGAAAAGTTTATGGAAACCAAATACTGTTTCAAAACTTGTTCTACAAAGAGCACGTTCAGTAAATTTCATGTTTATATATAAAATAAGCTACCTGAATGCCATTTTCTAGGCATCCAGATATCTCAACACATACACACAAACTCACAGAAATTTTTCAGACCTGGCAAGTATAGCATTTTTCCATTACTTCTTGCCACAATTTCATTTAGAATGGGGCTCTGTTCAGCTGCTTATGACCCATGTTATATGGAAGTTTATCTTCTAATTTACATATTCTTTCAATTTTGAGAATGCAAAAAAACCACAGTTAATTATCATGTTTACTTTAACATCCTCTTTTTAATCACATCATAATATCTGATCAAATTAGGTAGAAAATATACTAGCAAAAATGCACACATACTTTCTGAGTCATTAAATAAAGCCAAGTAATTTATTATCATAATTGTTAGTATGCTACCAAACAGTACCATAACAGGTAAATAGAGATTACCTGTTGAAATGTCTTTCTCAGCTAGTTCATATTGCTTCAATCCATTATAGAAATTTGCCCTGTTAAAATACACTGCTGCAGAGAATGGGCAGAGACAAATTGCCTTCTCAAAGTCTTCTTCTGCTTCTTCAATATTGTTTAGTAATGTATTTGTAATAGCACGATTCAAAACAGCAGATTCATTTCTTGGGTCAAGTTCTAATACCCTGGAATAATAGCAATAGGCCTACAGAACACATGAATTGGAGACAAAATATGCTGTTAAAATTTGAGGAAATGGCTTATGTACAACTTGTAACTTCCTGTTTGTTTCTTTAAGCCGTTAGTATTCTAAAATTTTTACTCATTCTGTTCAGCGTTCTTTGTGCACAGAAAAGAGAGAGACAGCACCAGCACGTTTATCCAAAAATAGGTTCTGATCCAAGTGTAACTTATGCTCAAGATCAACAAGGAATCTAACTCAGAGAAACATACAAGAACATCAAATTTTTTTCTTACTTGATCTATTTCTTGTGCTGTATGAAGTACAAGCTAGGTTTAAAATTGTATGCCAAGCCTGTACTATACCAGATGAATTCCTTAATAAGCGAACTGCAAGCTGAAGTGTTTACAGATGCAACTCTAGGAGAGAATTAATTCAAGTACATGAAGTGTGCTGAAGCATCCATTCTGGTTCTGGGAATATAAGCAGAATTAGGTGATTTAAAACTCCAAAGTTACTGTGGTAACAGGAGGAAGATCTGACTTGTTGATTAAAGTTCATCAGCAGGAGATTCTTTTCATTCTCATTGTCATGGTGCTAGAGTGAATCTGGGCAAGTTATTTAATGTATGGGAGTTAGGCTGGGGGGGACGTTACTGAATATTAATGGGATTTTGGTATCTCAATTATTAACAAATTTTTGTGATGTGTATCCTATCCATCATGAGTCTTAGTTCATTCATATCAATGATAAAATACATAGTAGTAGGGCAATTATTTATTAATTACTACAGATAAATTAATCTCCTGGTAGAGGACCATGAAATTCAATGTAAGAAAGCTCCATGTTAATTACACTTAAAGACAGCTTTATACCAACAGTATTTATTTGAGAAAAAAGTTCTGAAGACAGTATAAAGACAGACTGTAGGCTTACCTGTGAAAACTGTCGATTATGGAAGTAGATATTTGCTGCATTGAAATAGGCTAATGCATAGCTTGGGTCAACAGAAATCGCTTGTTGATAGTCCTTCATGGCACAGGGTAGATATCCCATTAACTGATTGATGACACCCCGATTTGTTAGGAGTGGAGCAGTGGTAGTGAGCTGAAAGGAAAATATAGACGCATTCTTACTCAGGGAAAATTTACACTTCTACGGTATTTTATTCTGGTTTTCAAAGATACATTTTCTTTAAAAAAAAAAAAAAAAAGAATTGGATTAACAAACTGGCAACTATTAATTTAGAATAACGGCTGGCTTCATAGCAGGAGGTTGATTTTAGTAAAATCACTTTAAGCTAACATCCACCTTTAGTGCAGCATTTGTATCTTGAAATGCAGCAAAAGTTTCTCCCGCTTGAAGACAGACTGAAGCTCGTCCATCATATGCAGCATGGCATTTTGGATCAATGCAAATGGCAGCTGTAAATTGGCTCCATGCTCTCTGAAGCTTTCCAAGGGCCTAAAATGAATTGCAATATGTTCACAATAAGAAACATATGAAATGCCAAACATAGTCCCACTTAAAAATTACAGCAGAGAATGCTTATGCTTATATTTACAAACACAGTTAACCAAATTACAGAAAAAATGAATTAAAATATCCTGTTAATTTTCAAGTATCTTGTTAATTATGCAATACCCATTGTCTTTGCAACTCTGTAATATACCTGTCAGAACTGTTTTAACTGCAAGTATTTCCTTTTCTACATAATAGAATCACAGAATGGTTGATTTTTGAAGGGATCTCTGGAGAACGTCTAGGCCAACATGCTGCTTAAAGCAAGGTCAGCTGGAGCAGGTTGTCCAGGGCCACGTACAGTCAGAATTTGAACATCTGCAAGGATGGAGACTCCACAACCTCTCTGCAAAATCTGTTTCAGTATTTAATAATCATCACATTAAAAAAAAAAAATTCTCTGATGTTTAAATGGAATTTCCTGTATTTCAGTTTGTGCCCATTGCCTTCTGTCCTGTCACTGCACCATTACGAAGAGCCTAGCTCCACTTTATTTATACTCCTTCATCACATATTTATACCTATTTATAAAACTCCCCCTTTAGCCTTCATCTCCGTTTCCTTGCTCTTTGTATGACAGATCTTTCAAGCCCTTAATCATCTTAGTGGCCCTTCACTGGATGAGTGCCAGTATGTTCATGTCTCTCATACTGGAGAGCCCAGAACTGGACACAGTACTCCAGATGTGGCCTCACCAGTACTTAGTAGAGGAGAGGGATCACCTGCCTCAACCTTCTGGCAATGTTGCTCCTGACACAGCCCAGGGTATCATTGGCCTTCTTTACCGCAAGGGCACATCACTGACAGCTTCAACTTGTTGTCCATCAGGACCCCCAAGTCCTTCTCTGCGAAGCTGCTTTTGAGCCAGTCAGCTCCCAGCTTGTAGCAGTGCATGAGATTATTCCTCCTTAGATGCAGAACTTCTCACTTTCCTTTGTTGTAAATTCATGACGTTCCTGCCTGCCATTTCTCCAGGCTGTCCAGCCCATCATCCCTCTAAATGGCAGCATAACCATTTGATGTATTGACCACACCTCCCAATTTTGTACCATTTGCAAACTTGCTGAAGGTGCACTCTACTCCATCATCCAGGTAATTAATTAAGATGTCAAACAGTATTGGATCCATTACTGACCCCTGATGATACTTCACTACTTACGTCCAGCTGGACTTCATGGCACTAATAATGACCTTTTGAGCCTGACAGTTCAACTAGTTTTCATTTCACCTCACTGTTCACTTATCTAGATCATGCTTCACCAGGTTTTGTATGAAGACCTTATGAAAGACTACTGAAAGCTTTGCTAAAGTGGAGATAAACAACATTCACTGCTCCCCTCTCATTCACCAAGCTAGTCGTCTCATCATAGAAGGCTATCAGGTTGATTAGCATAGTTTCTCTTTCATAGACTCATGCAGACAACTCCCAATCACCTTCTTGTCCTTCATGTGTTTAAAAATAGCTTCCAGAATTATTTGCTTCATCACCCTTCCAGGGACTGAAGTGAGGCTGACCTGCCCATAGTTCCCCAGATCCTAATTCTTGCCATTCTTGAAGACAGGAGCAACATTTACTTTCTTCCAGTCTTCAGGAACCTCTATTGATTATTTATGACCCTTGAAAGATAATTGACAGTGGCCTCACAGTGATGTTGACTAGCCCCTCAGCACTTTAGGTGGATTCCATTAGGTCCCATAGACTTGCGTGTGTCCATTTTGTTTAAATGTTCCCTAACCCGATCCTCCTCCACTAAGGGTAAGTCTTCCTTGCTCTGGACTTTTCCACTGGTCACAGGGACTTGGTATTCCTGAAAGCCAGTCTTACCAGTAAAGACCAAGGTGAAGAAGGCATTGAGTACCTCTACATGTCATTTGTCACTACATCCCTACTCACATTCAGCAGCAGGGCCATATTTTCTCCGTTTTTCCTTTTGCTGCTGATGCACTTGTAGAAGCCTTTCTTATTGACCTTCATGACACTCACCAGATTCAACTCTTGATGGGCTATATATGAGCTTGTGCCCTAAAGATTTACATATTGGACTTCACATAGCAATAAAATTAAACCACGAGGTTGTTCAGCAAAAATACCTCCCCGGGATGGTCAAATGGAACTCTGGTATACTGTTCCTTGTCCAGAAAGTGTTTAATTCTGGGCAAGTAAGCCATTTGGGACCACAGGCAAAATGTAAACATTTTACCTAATATAAGTATTAATTAAGCAAAGGTGGAAGGCAAACCATCTAGTTCCCCACATCAAAATACTTCTGCATATGTGTCTATGGTTAAGCCCCAAAAGGTATAATAAGGCTTAAGAGAAGGCATCTAATGAGATTTAGGCCTCTCAGAAATTAAGCACCTGCCGGTATGAGAACTTTCTGGGTTTCCTCCTGCACCTAAGATGTTTAATTCCTACCTACGTCTTATTCCTACCTACTGACCAATGTAGTCACTCCAGGTTTTTCTCACGCACAGTACTTCCCAAAGCACTGTGGAATCATTAGTTAGAATTTAAGTGAATTGGCAAAGCTGTAAAAGGAAATTTGCATGACACCTGTGCAAGACTACCTGACACAGGCTACTAACATTAGTCTCTCAATTACATTGACAAAAAATAATTTGCAACAAGATTCATGACAATTCAAGACATTTCAGACAACTGGATATAATAAAGCACAGTAATTAAATGACAGAAATTAGACACAGACAAAAACTTCCAAGCCATATTATATATCCCTTTACTAATATAGAAGTTCATTTTCCATGTAGGTAAGTAGTTTTCAGAAATCATTGGCCTTTACCAAGGGATTTTATCAGATTTGCTAACAGTATAGCTTGGATAATTAGGACATACAAGATTTTGTTTTACACATATCTGTCAACACTGGCTGCTTTTTACTTCAGTAAACAGCTCATACACACAAAACATGCCAGTTCTTAATGTTAGCCAGTCAGAGAACCATATATGCAAATCAAACAAGCATCACGTTACTTGATACTACATTAGTCAAGAGCAGAACTCCAACAAGATTGGGCACAAAAGTGAAAAGAAAATCACGGTCTATGCATTTACTTAAAAAGAAAGAAGATGCCATAAGGCTTGTCTAAAGTACATGAATTATTTTATGTTTACTATAATTACTTTATGCATTACATAAATGTATGCATATAAAATGGATGTTATTTTGTTTGATTAAACATAGTATTGACAATGAATTTTGGTGTTACCTGCAAGTTGTATCCTAAGCAAATTCTGGCTCTTACACAGTTTGGATTCAGATGAATTGCTCTCAAGAAATCTTTCTGTGCTAGTTTACAACCAGCCTCATGTCCATTTTCCATGTACGAATTTCCTCGAGCAACATAGGCATCCACAGAAACAGGATTTAGTTTGAGAACCTGATCAAATGATCTCACAGCTTCTTCAAACTCATGAAGTCTACAAAGAGATATATTAATGTTTGTTGTTTAAAAATTCTATAAACAAAAATCTTAATTTATGAATGATCCGCAAGTAGTACCCCATAACGCCCACTGAAAGTAGTTCAATTCTGACTGAAAGGGACACTTTTTTTTTCCCCTAAGTTTGCTTTCTGTATGTGCACCCTAATAGTTATAACAATGAAGGTAGTCAGTGTAAGACCTTGTAGAATTCAGTTGGAATTCCTTGGCCTGAGGAAGAAAACAGCAAAACTCTCATTAACTTTTGCTGAGCCAAGATTTCACCTTTTCAACAGTTGTACTCAACAGAGAGACTTTGTTGAGTTCAAGTCATTCATGCTGTCCAAGTGTCATGACCAAACATGTTTTTGCTAGTGTGTTCAGGTGCAGATGTTTCAGCCACAAATAATTTACTTCTCACACAAGCCTTCTCCCCGTTTTTTTCTCATACCAATTATTGAACTTATCCAAACTATACTAAACTTGCAAGGTAAAAAGAGGCAATATTCAGGGTTCTAAGCATAGACCATTCTGGTCTAAGAGTAAGCCAAATGTGGAACTCCATCCTTAGATAAAACATCTGAGGTATACTGAATAGGGATAAAAAGGATTAAATACCTGAAATATCAATGAATGCTAGTAAGTATCTTTACACATAAAGCAAAAACTTTAACACGTCAAAGTACAAAATTGTTTTACCAAGATGATACTGAAAGATAAGACATTGTTTGAATATAAGCTGCATGTGTCTACCTGAAGCACAGTCTGACTTCTTTACCAAAAGAGGAAAGATTAAATATACTTAGCTGACAAATAACTTCAAGGGGTGCAAACCAAATGCTTGTTAAAAGCACAACACTTGTTGCAAAAACAAATTAGAGCTTCATTCCAATCCTGTTGATAGGCAGTCATGCGGTTAGAGACTGCAGGATGGGTCCCAAATGTGTCTTAAAACGGCTTATACATCTGAGTTATATAGTTACTAGTGACTCCTTCTGACAGTTGAACACAGACATGGGCACCAAAATCCTATGCTCAGTTCTTCGAAGCAGGGTTCAGCGTTCCTGTGTGAGTTCTACATCATCCAGACACTACGGAAGATGGAGCCAGTTATGCCCTAACTACAGGCATGGTAACACAAGAATTTTTGATGCTACGGTCCTGAATACATCCACTTCCACACTGCCTGAGCAGCAACAAGCTTAAGTGGTGATAGATGGCAGAGTAACTATAGAATAAAATAGATTAGTCTAAACTAATATGCAGATAGCTATTAAAATTTCCTTTTTACTATAGGTGATATTTGTGTGAAAAAGGAGCTACCAACTCTGAGTGCCACTATAATAAGTAGACTAAGATACTAATGAATATCTTATTTCTTCTAATTTATATCTATTTTAAGTGATTAACAGATTTAATTTAGCCTTTATAAATAAATCTTATCTTGATGAAACTACACTTTAGTATTTCCAAATAAAAAATTCAGGCAAGGAAGACCAGTGAGGCTTTTGCTCTTTCTTAAAGGACAAAGTGTATAGTTAAACAGAAATTGCATCCTAACTAATTCTGAACAAAACAACCCAACTCTGTTTACCTCATAATTCTTTGTTCTTCAGTCCTTCTCTTAGTTCTATTTCATCATCCTAATATTTCATCCTGATGCTGACATGAACACATAGTTGCTTGATACCAGAAGATTTTAATACCTGTTGTTAAACTTGAAAAATATCTAATTTCCTTTTTTCCATTCCTCTTTACCATTTTCCCTTCCCCCAGTTCTCAGTGTACTCGATATGAACAGATGAACAGAAATATAAAGCTCAGGAACTATTTGATTTTTCTACTCCCATCAAACAAAACTACATATCGTACCTATGATAGCAGATTCCAATAGCTTGAAAGATCTGACTATCGTCTGGACTAAGCACTGTTGCTTCTTTAAAGTCCTGAAAAGAACAGACATTAAACCATGCAAATTGGTATTGTTTCACTTCACCTAAAACTGTGGGTTTAGCTAAATGGTTTTATATTTCTATATAAAAAGAGAGAAGACTTCTGACAAAGGCATTATATGTTCACAAGTACTGCAGATGTAATTAACTGTTTTCATACTTCTTGTCCCAGTCTTTGATAGAATAAAATCTCTAAAGGTACGTGGTATCACAGTATTTCCTACAAAGCTGGAGGCAACAGAAACAAAACCTTCCAGAAAGGTATTTTTTGTTGGGTTTTGATAGAAATACTGTACCTCAGCTGCTATTATTAAATATATATATAATATATATTTTGCTATATGCAATGTCAACAGAATTGTTTTTGTAACAAAATTATCTAGTAACTTTCTGTTATTACTTTGACAAATGTAGTAAAGCAAACTCATATTTGCATTGGGAGACTATGCACAATGTTCCAGTGAAAGACTTCATAGGGCTTTTGCCTTTTGCCTTTTACTAACATTCAGAACATTTTTCAAAATGCTTACGGTTTTGATATGTGCGGTTCAATTGTAAAAACTGTACAGGTGCTGTTAAAATCAAATACAAACATTTCAATTATGATGTAAGGGAGCACTTTAGACTTCTGCACGCGAAAGCAATCAATACATAGTAGGAGTGGTTCAGCTGATGCATCTACTGATCTACAACTTAGAAAGCATTTTTTACTTGTTCAAATTATAAAAATAAAAAGATGTGGAAGATTTTAGTACTGTTGGAATTATGAAAGTGGCAAAATAATGATGTGCAGATATAAATATTTGCATTTTGTTAAAATAAAATGTCTCTTCTGGTGAACATGCTATCATAAAATTATAGGTCTGTTTTTTAAAAACTGCTGAGAGACTGCTCTCACCTAGCAAAGCCTTTCAAAGAATACCAGCAAAACTAATGGGATTCTTCACGTGGACAATTTGGAGTACACACTCTGCTCTGTGTATGGAGCACAGCAAAAGCAGGATCAAAGTTCCAAGGACCAGGTTCGGTTTACTCAAACTAAAGGTGCTATCCCCACAGGATATCACACTTCACAGAATCAACAGGAAAAGACAACCCTATATAGCAATTAAGATCTTATATAGATGTAATTGTAACTTTTCCTTTTTCTTCCAGTGTATGCCATTCAATAATACACTCACTTCAAGTAGTATGTACCTGTGCTTAAATAATTATACCCTAGTACAACCAGTACTATGCATGTATACAGATATACTCCTTGCAATAAAGCGTTATCAGAACTGATACATAAGAAGGTATCAAGCATATTCACAATCACTGATCTTTTTCTTAAATTAGCTGTTATATTTTTGTCTGATGTTCAATTACCATTTTGTAAATTTGTCTTCACTACCATTCAAAGAACTTTTTGCTCATCCTGCTGGTTGTGTCCCAGTCTCTTTCTACTGGCCTTACATATCAGTTTGTACTGCCTTGGTCTCTCTTCTGAACTACTCTGATCAACTGTACCTTGAAGCATAAGAGACCAATAACACAATATTTCTGCTTGAATTATTTCTATGTAAGATCCACCAACTGTAAAGAGCTTTTGTTGTGCACTTCCAATAGGACATTTCTGAGTCATTGGAATGGGATTCATATTCAGTCTTCATTTTTTATTTGCAAATAAGAAAGATTACTCAATTTTTTAGAATGCCTATGCTGAAATTATTGCTATCACATAAAGAAGATAACACATTTTAAAGTAACTAGTCCACAATGGAAGCAATGAATGCACCAGTTGTACCGCAAATAAATACCCCTGCTTTTAAAAAAAGCTAAAACTTTTAGAAACCATAAAAACTATTTAAAATTCAAAACCAAAACCCCATCTGTGTGAAAGAGTAATGTTTAACACTTTGGTTTCAAGCCTGCTATTCCTATAGCAGATTGAGTCCCATGGAATGACAGAGTCATCTGCACTGTGAGTCAGTGTCAGAAACACATACTATTTTCTTACATTTAAGAAAATTATCTTGAGGTCGGACCCTCCCTGCCCTTTCAACAAAAATAGCCATTTACACACACAGGCATGCACACACAGAAGAACAAAACAAGCGCACTCAGTCATAACCTCCATTTACTTAGGCTTCTGCAATGAATTAGTGCTCATGTGTACCCAACATAAATTACTTCAAGATTCAAAAAGAAGGAAAAAATCAGGTTCTTGCTTACTAAATTTTGTGCATCTCCCCTGTTTAACTCTAGCAGCATAAAACTGTAAAACAAGTAAGACTGCATTTTATTTGCATCTTCACAGACAGACTGGTATTAGGTGTTGAGCAAACGAGAACTGGGCACCAACTATTTCAGAAAACTATAAAAACTGTCAAGCTGGTCTTTATGTCAACAATGGCTTACATTTAACAGAAAACTCTAAATTTCTTTTACTCAAAGAAGGATTTTATACCTCACATGCATTAGCATAATCACCAAGTTCCACATAGAGTAGTCCACGATTAATTAACACTTTAAAAGCTATTTCCTTACTCAATTCAAGCAGAAGAAGAATGCCATAGTCTTTCAAAGCCTACAGAAACATAAAATGCATTTTAAACCATAATTTATTCAGGGGAATACCATGTTACTTCAAAATTTAAAAGACATACTTTCAAATTCCTACAAATCATGTGCATATGCAGACTTCGGTGTGGCTATTCCAATGTTTCACTGTTTTCAGATTGAATTTAACTGAATTTGGAGCCTTCTATAATTACATAAATACCCATTCCTAGAGTATAGAAGCAAAGATAATGCAAATATATTAAATAGATATAATTAAAATTTATTTTGTCATTATACAAATTTCAGTTAGAAATAAATCTTAATTACTTCTACTGCTAAGTTTTATGTCCAAATTCTTATTAAAAAGAACAACAAATTATTCTAGATTATTTAGTCATGAGGTAATGTCAAAGTAAGGTACTTTTAAAATTAAGTATCTTCAAATATAATTTGTTGTTATTGTAAAATCTAAGCACTACTATTAACTAAATTTGGGTGTAAATTTTGAAAAAGGGTAAATAATGACATCACTAGGTACGCTGAAGAAACTTCAATTCTCAAATTTATCAAAACTTAACAGTATTTCAACAATGCTTGACCTGAAGAAGTTCTAGCTCAGCTATTTTTTCACCTGAAGAATGAACTTATATAGTATACTTAAGAATAACTAGACAGTTTAGAGCTAATATGACAAAAATAGAATCATAGGATAATTTGGGTTGGAAAGGACCTTTAAAGATCATCTAGTCCAACCTCCCTGCCATGAGCACGGACATCTTCAACTAGATCAGGTTACTCAAAGCCCCGTCCAACCTGATCTCGAATGCTTCCAGGAATGGGGCATCTACCACCTCTCTGGGCAACCTGTGCCACTGTTTCACCACCCTCATTGTAAAAAAATTTCTTCCTTACATCTAGTGTAAATCTACCCTCTTTTGGTTTAAAACCATTACCCCTTGTCTTATCACAACAGGCCCTGCTAAAACGTCCCCATCTTTCTCATAAGCCCCCTTTAAGTACTGAAAGGCCACAAAAATGTCATTGCAGTATTCCATATATTAGCCACTTAAGAGATGTTCTATTCTTTGTAACCTCTAAACTAAGCTCAATATTAGAAACAGCTTTAAAGAAAACAATACAGTTCTTGTTAGATCTAGTAAATTTCTTCTGTCAATGATCTACTACTCTACATTTTTTCTGCAACTTCCCTTGTACTTTCAGTGGCTTTTCTGGGGACTGAAAGCAAAGAAAAACCTTTATAATACCTTAGTTATGAAGGAACTATCACTTTCACATCTTATACTTTCAGCTTCAGTTACTGTAATCGCCTATTTTTCTTTACCCATCTGCATCATTCTTGGCCAATTAACCTCTAAGCACAAATGGCCTTTGCCCAAGGTGGACTTGACTTGAGACATGCAAGCTCAAGTACTTATGAACTATCCCTGTCTCAGAAAACCAGCCTCAGCAGAAAGACAGTTCAACATGATTGTGTTCCCAGCCTGAAGCTGCATGGTGTCTGGGTGTGCCCTGTTGCGCCTTTGCTTCATAACAAAGGTAGAAAGCAGAAACACTTAGAGGCAGCTCACAGGCAAGTTGACAGAAGTATAAACACATCCAGAAAAACAGAGCTGGGAATGAGGGTTGGATGTAGTCCAAATCCCTGTTTTGATGTAGTCTTCTGGATCTAATATTTTCTTACAGTTCTTATATTTTTTTCTTATAGTTCTTATATTTTCAAAGGGATATCAAATGTAATTAATATTACATTATTGTGGAGACCAAAAAGCCATTTTTTTTAAACAATTTCCTGAAGAGCACAATCATTCAGGAAGACATTGCAAGAGGTCAGAAGTTTTGACTAATTGTCAATATCAGGTTATTAGCTGATATGAAGTAAGTGTTCATGTGATGTTGAAAAAAAAAATAATACCAATACCTTTCTGAAGTCCTTTATTTGATGATAGCAGACAGCTCTATTATAATATGCCAAAATGCAAGTTTTGTCGAGGTCAATGGTTTTTGAAAGATCTTCAATTGCAGCATTAAATGTCTGCAAATGAAAAAAACACTATGTATAAATTTTAATTCAGAGTTCATGGCACTGCATGTTTTTCCTCAAATAATAGCCTATTGTAAAATTTTATTTCATAGTTTTACATTTTGTTCTTCATCAGTACTGGAAGACATCCAACCATTTCACTGTGTCCTCTGTGAACTACTTACTGCAGTCCTTACTACAGTGGGATCATTCCTTCAGAAGCTCTGTTTGTGCAAAGAACAAACATTCTTTGTGTTTTCTTACATCACATCCATATATTGCTACACATAATCAATCCTTAACTTTACTATCTTACATTTTATATCTTAACCTAACCTAGAAGGTATCTTTTGTGGAGTTTTGGTACTTCTGTCAATCACCAGGTAAGAATCTATTCTGTGGAATTTAAGAGAATGACCAGATAGATACTCAGTAGCTTCTCCAACACATCAATCATTTTCAGCTGCATAGAACAACCAGAGAATACCTCCAATGGGAAATGGAAAGTATAATAATCAAGTGGAATTCCTAGTTTTTATCAGCAACACTTTCAACATTATTTCACCATTATAAAGTGTCAAGTAAGAGACATTAAGTTTTAAGGGAGAGCACAAAAGTACAACAATAAAGACCCACCTTATTTTGATACTTTAAAGTTCCTCGGTAAAAATAAGCTCGCACACTGTTAGGAAGAATTTTGATTGCTTCATTGCAATTCAGAATTGCCTTAGAGTATCTACCTTTACTTCCATAGTAAGCAGCACGACTCATATATGCCTGTAGAGATGAAGACGGAATGATGACACGGCAAAACCCAGCTTTGTTTAGCATTATAAAACAAGGGTTAAATAGAAGACAGAAATTACAAGTTTATAAAAACATACATCTTATGAAGCTTGTCATTTCTTTTATTTAACGCTTGCCATGCACTTGCTGGCAGGTTACAAGGCAATACACCCAGAAATGCAAAACCTGTCAGTCTTTGAACCCATCCAAAAAAGCCTCACAGAAACAAACTATCAGGAGTCTTTATATTACCTGGAAATGTGATGGACAAAGGGCAAGTGCTTGATTGAAATCTCGGATGCACTTAGCTTGTCTGAGCTGCATTCTACACAGCCCTCGCTGATAAAAAGCATCAGGGTAACTTGAATGTAGTCTGATAGCCATACTAAAAGCATCATGGGCCTAAAAGGATGACATAATCTGGGTTAAATATGGTCCATTTGTTCAGCTGAAACCATAGGCTAACTGATTCTTTTGTACAGCTAGGTATGACCTATTTTTGCAGTTGGAACCCACCATGTATCTGCACTGGTTTTTATCACTTTCGTCCATTTACTGCTACTCAAAATTTTGTAATGTTTAGCACCCTATGGAGGCACAATCTAATTCATTTAATAATCTCATTTCTTCAGTGATACTGCAAAAGTTTAACTGAGCACATGGTCTTGCCTTTAAGAGCTGAAATAGTGAAGTGCTTTACTATAATGGATGATGGATTTACATGGCAGTATGCAACTCCTTTAAAATACATCCAGATAGATTTTTTTTCCTCTACATTGTACATTAGCTTACAAAGTCCCGGGCTTTTCCAGGATCTACAGCTGTAATATCAGATGTAGATTAACATAAAAAGTCACCTTTTGCAAATTTTCATGTATTACCACATTAGATCATTGAATGGGTTAGGTTAGAAGGGACCTTAAAGATCATCTAGTTCCAACCCCCCTGCCATGGGCAGGGACACCTCCCACTAGACCAGGTTGCTCAAAGGCCCATCCAGACTGGCCTTGAATACTTCCAGGGATGGGACATCCACAACTTCCCTGGGCAACCTGTTCCAGTGCCTCACCACACTCACAGTAAAAAATTTCCTCCTGATATCTAATATAAGTCTATCCTCTTCCAGTTTGAAGCCATTACCCCTCCTCCTATCACTACACACCCTTGTAAAAAGTCCCTCTCCAACGTTCTTGTAGGTCCCCTTCAATTACTGGAAGGTTGCTACAAGGTCTTCCCAGAGCCTTCTCTTCTCCAGGCTGAAACACCCCAACTCCCTCAACCTGTCTTCATAGGAGAGGTGCTTCAGCCCTCTGATCATCTTCATGGCCCTCCTCTGGGCCCAATCCAACTATCCACACCTTTCTTGTGCTGAGGACTGCAGAGCTGGAGGCAGTACTCCAGGTAAGGTCTCAACAGAGAAGAGCTGAGGGGGAGAATCACCTCCCTCAACCTTTGATGCAGCCCAGGATACAGCTGGACTTCTGGGCTGCAAGCACACATTGCTGGCTCATGCTGAACTCCTCATCTACCAACACCCCCAAGTCCTTCTCCTCAAGGCTGCTCCCAATCCATTCGTGGCACAGCCTGTATTTGTACTTGGGATTGCATTCTTCCAAAAGAATATCCCTTATGACACACGGCCAGGGAACCAGGTAGAGAATTTGGGAGTAAGGTTAAGCCTGAGAAGGCAGGGGTGGGGAGGAAAATGTTTTAAGATTAGTTTTTATTTTCTCATTACCTTACACTGATTTGATTTGCAATAAATTAAATTAGTTTTCCCTAACTCAAGTCTGTTTTGCCTGTGATGGTAATTGCTGAGTGATGTCCCTGTCCTCATCTCAACCCACAAGCCTTTCATTACATTTTCTCTCCCCTTTCCATCTGAGGAGCATCCAGCCAGCATCAACCCATCACAGAAGCAGACAAGGCAAGAAATTTTTCTCTTCCCTGTGAAATTGATATTTCAAATGTTTCTCATTTCTGCCTTGAGCCCTTTAGCAAATCAACAACTGAAACATATTTACTAAAATATCAACATAGAAAACATTCACATGAACTCACACTAGGCCTGCCACAAAGCTCACTGTTAGGCTTTCAACAGTAAGTCTCTAATACAGTTAAAAGTATTGATTTTGTTGAAAGAAGGGAAATATATTTTTCTTAGGTAATGCAGTTTATTTCTTAAGTATCATACATAAGTGCCAAAGAGAACCACTAGGGGTGTTATGAGCTACAGTAATATAGAAAACAGTTAACAAATTACCACCAACTCCATAACACAATAATCTAGGAATTCATTTGTCCAAGTTTACTACCAATTCACTAAGCCACCAATACTCCTACGTGAGTACTGTTTGCCTACAAGACCCATGAAGACAGGTCTTATTAACAGATAAGAAATTCAGGTAGTTTTTTATTCCATCAGAATGGCAATTAATGGCATATATTAAAAAAAATCATAACATTAGCTCTGGAAAAATTACTCTCAAACTTGCAAGACAGTCTAGTGTACATCATGAATCCAAAAGACAATTGCTAAAGGCAGCGGATGCTGTTTAAAATATTTAAATAGTTCACTCAGTTATCATAGTTGTTGTTTACAAGCAGTGGAGTCAAAGGCTTATATACTCAATATAATTAATACCAACCCGTAATAAACTTTTCTGCTCCATGTGACACAGGCCTGTGAGATAATAAATTTCTGCAGCCTCAAATGTATTAGGCAGGATTTTTGCTGTGGTCATCAGGAGCTTCACAGCTTTTTTAAAACTTCTCACAGCATCCTGCAATACAGAGAATATTAATAGTTATAAAGAACTTAACTGAAAATTGGCAAGATTTGTTAGAACTTTTAAATTATTTTTCAGTGTCTTTTTCTTAGTCTTTGGAACATTACGGTAAAAAGGACTAGTCCGGTGTTCCTTGATGCTGCTGGAGTTTGACACTCTCTTAATCTCTGAATGGTTCATATTAATAACTGATCAGAAAAACAGAGAAATATTCCTGAGTTTTATTTATATATGACAAAGTAGCTAATGTACATGATCTGGAAACAACATACAGTTCATTTATACTGTTATTAGGTACACAGTTAATTATAATTATTTATTAATATTTTTCCTTGGGAAGAAAAGGTATATCTTTTTATGGAGTCTGATAAGAATTAAGTACTTGCTACAGGTTTCTGTACATAAATAATGACAAACTATTCCATAGACGACTAACACAAATTTGACAACCATTACGAAATATATTGAAAGGATCAATTCTTTGTAAGCATTGAAGGAACTTAAGTGAATAGCCTCTCAAGATTTTACCATGTCTCAGAGCTGGACAATAATTTATGCATATTTAATAATAATTTGGTTTAAAGCAAAGTGTAAGGAAAAAAAACAAAAAAGTAACAGTTCAAGATAAGCTATTCATCAGCCTTTGTGGACTATGAAGGGACCACAACTGAAAGTTTCAATATCAAGAAGAGTAAAAAAATTACAGCATTTTTTTCTTAAGTGAGTCTATCAAGATAAAGAGGTGTTTGTTTAGAAAAATCAGTTTGAAATACCAATGCCCATAGGGCTGTCTGCAAATACTACACCTGCCTCACTAAGTTGTCAAGGTAGTAGAAGTTTTAAATGAAACAGGTCTGCATTTACTGCTATTTAAAAATAATTTTTCTCTATCCCTACAGTTCAAAAATACTCTTATTTTAAGAGGAAAAAAGAACTGTAGATAGCTGAACTCACTCACATATAATTCTAAAGGCACAGCTGATTCTCAGGGCACTACAGCCTGAAGTCTGCTCATTTTCCTGTATTGAGAGTATTGTGTCATTTCTCTCCAGGAGAGGTGGCAGTGCAAGTCCTCACCTCTGGGTGAAGCACTCTGAGAAATCCAGGAATGACTCTAATAGACATCCTCTTAACCATGACAACTGAAATGGGTTGAATTGGAGGGTACTAATGATGACCGTCTTTGACTTCTAGCATTCTTTCAAAGACAGCAGAACTAGTAACATCCCATTATGGTTTGAGACAAATAGAACACCCAAGACTAACCAAAAAAGCTGAACAGATCAAGAGGTCTTGTCTGGTACAAGCCCAGGGAGCAAGAGTATAAATTTTACAAAATGCATACCTTTTCGTTTAAAAAGAACCTGCAAACACAAGGCTAAGAGGAAACAAAGACTGTGCATTTCAAACATACAACTTAATATACAGGTAGATTCAAGTTCTTATGACCTGTTGCTTGCTGCTATTGTGTTTGGGGAAACAGGACTCTCTACATTTTGTATAAACAAATATGAGTGTACAAAATGAAACAGCTAATCCATACGGCCAATTTCAACAATGCTGCAGGCCTCAAATATTGGCTAACTGCAGGACTCAGAGCTAAGTGACTATATTAGTTAAACCCTATGACATATATTCACAAAGTTGAGAAAATACCTGTAACTATACACTATATATTCCGTTCACACACATGAATTAAACTTTATTTCTGCATTTTATTAGACAAAAAATGCTAGACATACTTCTGTATTATTTTATTTCAAAAGAAGCAAAATTATGACACATAATGGACTTCAATCTATTTAATTGTCTCTTTTAATTGATCATCTTAAGTGTCTTAAAACTAAAATTTCCTAATTTATGCCAAACTATTAGTGCTGCTGTTATTGAAAATTCTTACTCAGGTCTTCTTATAATTTAAACGATGAACTACTCTGAAGGGTTATTTATGTACTAACACATTTCATAAAATATTAAAGGAATATAGAAAGAAAAACATTGTCTTGCTTGGCATATATATAATGTAAACTTTTCTAACCTTAGTTTTCTTGGCTTTCATTTGTATTTTTCCTAAAATAACAAACATTGAAGGCTCAGGCTGAATTGCAGTAGCTTCACGTAAGCACTCTATGGCCTTATCGTGATTTTGACAAAATGACTGAATGAGTGCTTGCTGAACAGGCTGAGACGTAAAGGATTCTGGAAGGAAACCACCATGAAAAACAATAATCTCTTTTACTTTAATCTTTATGTTTCCCAAAATAAAATAACTTTAAATTATATGCAAACTTTAAAATGCTATTAAAATATTTGGAGTATCAAAGCTTATTTTAGCATCCATAAAAATACAAATGTAAACGAAATTCCTACAAAAGTCTGAAGTTGAACAGTTATTTATCAATGAGTGTAGTTTGCATGCTAAACATCTGCAAATATTTACCTTCCTCTTCCCACATGTAAGAAGGCTTTGCTCTGCGGAAGTATCACCATATGCCTGCTTTGTTTTTATATTCTTGTGCCCTGTGTATCTACACTTGATCACTACTAGAGACAGGAAATTAATCTCATACAGTGTGGCTATTCATATGGATTCACCAAGAGCTTCGGGACTGCCATTTTATGCCCAGCACATAACAAGGAACTACTATACTGCAACATTTTTACTGTTCAAACACATTGGGAAGGTTCAGTTCTAAAGCTATTTGATATTTTGCTAGGAAAGACTGTACATAAGTACAGAAAAAAATACTTACTCAATACTCCTTTAAAGCAGAAATTACCAATACTGAAAAGTATAATTAAAAAACAAGGACTCAAGATAAAATGAATTCTGAAATCACAGGTGATAGTACACCATTATTACCTTCAAAGGCTTCAGACATACAAACAAAATACTCTAGATAATAAGTTCCTATATTTTAGCTGATTCGTGGCACCTAACATATTTGCATGCTTCAACTTAATTTTTTTGAACAATTCCTTGGTTACAGACTGTTGCCATGGTTCACAGCTAGCTCGGAAAATTGATGGAAATTGACATTACCTTCATCCATTTCTGCAAGTTGGTGAATACATAAACTTGCCAGCTCATATTTCTTCAACTCCATTAAATAATGTCCCCTAGAATGATGTAATTAGTAAAACTATTTCCAGGCATTTCTTTCAAAGTGCAAATACTACTGAAATACGGTTTTATTAGTATAAAAAGAGAAACAGAAAAAAATAACGCCTTCCAATAAAAACATCTGAAGTTTTTACTTTTTTTTCATCAGAAATATCTGTCAAATTTTTATTTTTTTCTCTCACATCATAGTACCAAGAAATTCAGACTGTAGGAGTTACAAAAACACTTTTTTTTTTTTGTAGAGTCCACAGATAGTAATCCTTACAATCTCAAGAACTGCAACAATAATCTTAGTAATAGCGTTTCTAAAATCCACCACAGACTGATAGCCGATAGATACATTCTGTTTTAACAGACAATTTTTTGCCTCCTCAGACATCGGCATCAGTATAAGAGGTGATGCTAGCCAAACCACGCTCTGAGAGACAAGCTGAGCAAACCCAATATTAAAACTAGGAAACTACAGTATTATTGACTGGAACACAGTAACTAATTCCCCTAATACTCATGAGGAATAATATCCTAGCATTTCCTCCTTAGTTCCTATGGCTTTTCAGGGGAGGAAACAGCTTTATTTAGTAATTTATTTTTTAGTCTTGGTAAAAGTCACTACTTCTCACTGGGCTGAATATGGGTAAGAAGAATAGTTGAAATCTAAATTGGCCTGGACTCAATCCTTCACATTCTTTGCATTATGAGGACTCTGCAGACAAATCTGTGAAGGACCCATCCACTTGGGGAAAACTTTTCCAATTATTACTTTTAAAAAAGTTCAGACCTGCTTTTTTGCCATGGCACCTATTTACTTCTGTTTCCCCAGAAATTATATGTACTTCAAAGAGCAGAATCCTGTATATGCAACAAGGTTCCTCCCTCCAAGGTAACGATTACAATACTTGGGTGACACTATGCAGATAAAGTTCTTCAGGTTTGAAAATGCTATGAAAATACTACATTTTTTAAAACCCATTCAGAGCAGGCTTCAAATAATATAAAGGTATCTACCAACAGCATTCCAAATGGAATTTTTTAAATAAGTGAGATATCTCTGAAGTTCTCAACTAATCACTTTCCTACCTTAATATGCGAAGTTGTGATTTATTTGGATAAAGATGAAAGGCTCGGTTTATATCCTTCACAGCATTTGGTAAATTATGAATCTGTAATTTATAAAGAAAAAACAGCAATTTAATTGCTAATATGAGCACAATTTGGAGACACAATTGCTATTTCTGTAAATGTGGTTCTGCACGATGTAGTGCCCACATGGTAATAACTCACAAGGCACATATACCCTCTGTAAAGGAGCTCAACATGTTTTTAGTAAAGGTCTGAAACTTTTACCCTACATATTTCCATACTCTCCCATAGGGCAGATCCAGACTCCAGACAGTTTCTTTACTTTTCCAAAATCCAGAGAAGAGTCTGCACTATTGGGAAGGAGATTAGGTCATGAAATCCACATGCACGTATGTCCTGATGAATCTTCAGTGCTGTAATGAATTTGCATTTATTTTTCAAGTGTCTGTGCATGTGGTCCCATTCAGTGTGCTTCAGATGCTGAGAAAGGAGATCATTACAGTGACTGATCATTACAAGGACTGATTCATCCAGCTGGGATAGCTGCTAACTTGAACTCTCATTAAAGAACAGCATTGATGGAATGCATGTACTGAACTGGATTTTATTGCTTTATATTGAAATTAAAAAAAAGTCCCCAAAAAACCCTACAACAAAAAATAAGCCTAGAAGAGCAAACTGGCACAAGTTCTTAAAGACAGTATCAAAAAAAGAAGAATATCACCAGTCCTCTTAGATGGACTCTGAGTTAAAAGCCATTTCCTTTAGTTGTGGAAGAAAATGAACAGTGTGAGCAATTTCTCAAAATATTTTGAAAACAACTAAGCACTGTGAGACAAAACAGTTGTTTGAATTCTGCCAATGAAATCTACAGAAATTAGGTCACACTGAATACTCCATTCCTTGTACTCCTGAGAGGATCTCAAAAAAAAACCTGCTAGCAGAAACCATTCTCAAATCCCATGCAGAAGTAGAATACATTCTGTTTCACAGTAAATTAAAATATTGAAAAAGTTTTCACTTCCATTTGTGGGAAGAAAATCTGAGTTTCCTGAAAAATCAGTATTCTCAAGAAAACTCTGTTTAGAAAACATTATATTTCAAAATGTGGGGTTTTATATTTAAAACCACGTATTTTCAACAAAATACTTTTTTAAATGTATTTCAAGAAATTTAGTAAAGCTCAGATTAGGTGTACACTGATGTAGAGAAGATAAAATGACACTTGAAATATTCTGGGTCATTGCATTAGATGCAACAATATATTAGAATTGCAATGCAGGTAATCCTATTATGGTAACAAGGACTACTTGAAACATACAGCTATAAGCAGGTTCTTACATCTGTATAAGACCAAGGCATAAGTATTAAAATAGTCACAACAACCATAAATATAACTAAAGCTATATTAAGTTGCAAACAAAAGCAGAAGGAATTTATTACCTTATGATATGCTTGCGCTCTGCATACATAGGCTTGAACATTGAGAGGATCAATTTCAATGGCATTGGTAAACCTTCGAATAGCTTCATAGTATTGATCGAGATGCAATAGCAGTATCAAACCAATATTTAGGTAAGCAAAGACGACAGAGCTAAAAACAGATTTTTTTTTTCCTTTTGTTATTGCATGAAATATGTCATTGTATTAACCACAACTTATACAGGTTTCATCTACTTTTATGACATTTACCACACATCTATTTTACGATCACACTGAGCTAAAGAATTGTAATTTCCAGCAGAGGAGATAGCTCATTAAAAAACACCATTTCAGTAGCTTGTGATGTTTGGCTGCACACTAGAGGCTCTCTGATCACCAAAACCAGCACTCCAAATGTGAATTGTGAAGAAATGATGACAAGTCTCTGAAATAGACACTGCACTAGAAACAGAGCTAGCTGGTAATTTTGTACATACTGAATACACCAAGAAATACTGAATCCTTCAACAATAAAACCACATGGTAATTTCAAAAGACTGACAAAGCTCACAAGTTTTCCTAGCTCCCTTATTTTCTCCCACTAGCCTGCTCCCTTATTTTCTGTTCTTTCACTTGGCTAGCTGGTAGGAAGACCTGCGTTTCCAAGATCTGCAGGGGTCTTTAGGCCTGCCACAGATCATAACGGAAGCCTTTGCTCAAGACAGGACTGTTGAGGTTGCCAGAAGCTGAACAAGAACTCAATAGCTTTAGAGTATGGTAATTAACACAGCTAACTGGTATGGAGGTTTGTTGCATAGTGTAAGACCGTTTGCACAGCAGGGCTGCTACAGATAAAAATACTTCAGAAACAAATTGTAAGTGGTAGGAAGAAATGCAATTCAGCATCAGCTTCAGTTACCAACTATCAAGGATCACAAACAGCATTTTTTTTTTTTATTATTTTTATTTCAGGGACATCATTTACTTGCTCTTGCTAAAGAAAACATTGCGGCATTTTCTTCTGGAAAAAAAAAAAATGTAGTGTGACTTTTTACCTGTGTTGTGGACAGATTCCCCCCCCAAAGACTAATGAAATTATTATGGCATGAGTAGTCAACTTTAATTAGGACTTCAATTTCATCTTTTGTCTGCCAAACCAGAATCATTTATTTGCCAAGTGGCCATGTACAGCAAAGTAAAATTTAATTTTGAAATATATTAATAATTATTTTTATTATACTAAGACTATAGTAAATAAGGCAAAAGATACTAAAAGAAGACAACATCATGTTTTTATGTGGTTAATCCCAGTATATTTGCTGAATAACAGTTCTGATTCTACTTTCCTTTATTAGCACTTTTATGTCCCCAGGTAATCAGAATATAAACAACACATATTAAAATTCTCAAGTCCAATCACCTGTCCAAAGCTAGGACACTTTCAAAGTCAGAGATTGCAAGTGACCATTGACACTGTTCTGAGTACACAATCCCACGATGAAGAAAAGAACAGAAATTTTCCTGAGTGTCATTGATGAGTACTGTGGGAGAGGGAA